CCCGCCGCAGGTGTCGGGGTGCGCCGGGGAGCTCTGGAGGACGCAGGCCGTGGTGAGGCGACGTGCCGGAGAACCGGTCCCTACCCCCGCGTGCTGGGGAGAGCTGCCCTCCTCCACCGGCCGAGCTGCTCGGGTCGTTGCTGTAAAATGCTGGAAGAGCTTCAGAGTTTGAGGTTGCCGTTAAACCTCACCGAGCTCGAGGTTTTAAATGAAGGTGTCATTAGTGGCAGTTGCCGCAGAGGTTTGTGACGTGGATCTCTGCTGACAGAACCGAACAAAGACCGCTCATTCCACATCGCCCGTCATCAAAGCTGGCGTCACTTGGAGCAAGTTTTGGTTAGTACTGCTCGAGGCTAGGTTCCTACTTAACAATTCCTGAGGACCTCTTTTATCAATACTGACTCATCCAGATCCTGCAAATCGTGGATCTCTGCTGACAGAACCGAACAAAGACCGCTCATTCCACATCGCCCGTCATCAAAGCTGGCGTCACTTGGAGCAAGTTTTGGTTAGTACTGCTCGAGGCTAGGTTCCTACTTAACAATTCCTGAGGACCTCTTTTATCAATACTGACTCATCCAGATCCTGCAAATGTTCCTTCAGAATGAAAGGTTTTAATTTAACCAGCATAATACAATACTGAAAGACAAAAATAGATGAGCACCTGCCAAAGATAAGTAAAATAAAAGCAACGTACGGGAAGAAGGTTTCAAAGCCCAGAAGAAAAAATGTAATTACAGCGGGTTGTGTGGTTGTAGCTGCAGTGGTGGCAGCCACCATTGCCAGAAGGGTGGTTTTCCTCCGCAGGCGCAGGTCGAGTGCTCCTCTCACACAGCCCTTAGGGCCAAAGAGCCCAGCGATGTGAGCAGCACGGCACAAGGAAGGGGAGAGCAGGACTGAAATGCCAAGGGCAGTAGTCTGAGCACAGCCTTACCTACAGATCGTCAGGCAGCGAGTTGCTTTGTACCATTTATAAACTACGCAGCCGAGCACCGCACATGGCGTATGTCGTGTCCCACAAACAGTCCGTCCTCCCTTCCCCTCACAGATACCACCTTTCGGAAGAAGAAGCGCTGGTTGCATCTGTGGTCATCTGCAGAGCCCTTGAGTGGCAGGGAATGTACGGACTCACGCTAAAAGCAAATCAACAGGGTACCTACTTCTAATCCAAAGACCAAGTCGGTCACCTTGGTTACTGGAAAAAACGCTTCCAAGTGTTTAGAACTGGAACAGAAGAGATGGCCGCTGACAGTTCTTGAAAGCGGGAAAACATTATCCGCAGGCGTTATCTGAGCTATAAAGGTCACGAGCTACCCAAGCAAAAGCGATGCTAACTGAAATACGGATAGAAGTATGGAGAGGTTATATTTAAAACAGTTTCACACTCGCTGGAAGAAGTGAAAAAGGATAAGCAGACTTGGAAGGAGAAGAAACTCATTTTTCAAAGATGGAGGATGTAGGCATTTCTGCAACAGGAGAGAACTGGGATGGCTTTCTGCCAAAGGATTCACTTACATCGGTACAGACAGCGTCAACTTAATAAATACGATGTGAATATTAGCACGAGGAAAGGAGTCCTAGAGTTGTGTCATCAATCCTTCACATTTCATTCAAGGCGAGGAAGGTTCAGGATAAAACTACAAAAGCGATTTCACACGAAGGAAGATGGGAGGCAAAGCACTGGACAGCGCAGAGCTCATCCGCTCAGCATCGGATCTCATGTTGAACTCCCTGTTCTTGTTTGCTCCCAGGCCGTCACCAGCGACTGAGCAGTAAAATACCTTGGCAAAAGCCTCACTTTGAGAAACGCGTGGAACCCACAACTTGAAATTAAATGTGACCCTTGCTAAACTGCTAGATCTGAATACTATCGAGCTTTATGAGCAGGAGATTCCAAAGAAACTTGAACTCCAAATACGGATTTGTTGTAAACTTTGTATTTCAGCCTTTATTACAGGCTGCATCAATGTGCATGTTTTAAGTTGGCCTCAACTTTTGAGTTATCTGAAATCCAAAAGCTAACTAACTGTGTAACTAGCTATATTTATTCCAAATAGACACAGCTATTGGCTGTATCCCTAATAGTCTTCAGCGTAAATGAGGCCTTCATGACGACATACCACCCCGGCAAGATGGTTTTTGAAAAATTGTAAGGCTTTTGGTGTTGATGTTCCCCAGTTCTTACTGGCTTTGGAGCTACGTTCTCCAAACTGGTACTCCATGCCCGTAACTGAGGAGCTTGCAAGCTTGTTACAGACACCGAAGCAGCTCAAGTACTTTCATTGCCCTGCAAATACCGACCCTCCAAGCCCGCCAGGATCTTCCTGTGTGCAGGACCGCGTGTCAGGCAACTCTCCGCAGAGCATTTGTTATGTCCCAAAAAGCTGTCCAGTGCCTTCCATTAGGAGTAAGCCATTCAAATAACAACAAAAATATTTAGAACTAACTAGTGAATCCTAACAGGTTTTGAAGTTTTCATTCATTAGTGTTTAAACCAATTTCTAAGGAGTTACGATTAAAAAGACTAAACTCTGTCCAGTCCATTAGTCTACAGTGACATTTCTTAAACTTTCCCCTGTGCCCTTTGGTGCTGGCGGCTGCTGGAGACAGGACGCCAGGCTGGAGAGCCCGGTCCCTGGCAGTCCCTGTGGCTTCTAATTCAGCTCAGCATCAGAGGTGAAACATCATCCGCAGCCCGCACCGATGAAGCAGCTTCAAATTTCGAGACACCCAAGGTTTAAAAATATATACTTCTATATACACAAACAACAACATATTGATTTAAACAGATTCCTACATGTATTCGGTATTTCCTTGAGCTTCTTTATAGATTCCTGATGCTTACGTACAGCATAGGCAAAGCTTTTCATGATATCAGGGATTTTACCGCACCTTTTTGCTTAAATGTAGTTTTTTACAGAGCAGGGCTTTGGAAGATACTGGTGTAATGTGTCATTTACACTGCAACACTTTTCTTGTGCGAGTCTGTGCTGAGTATCCCGTAGGGAAACCAAAGAATTTGGGGATTTATGGTAGACACAATAGTCAGCTATAAAATGATTGATAACCTGCATTTATAATTGGAAACGTAAACTGCGCAAGACACATACATCAGTGGCTGTGGGAGACAGTGACCTTTCTTATACAAGCTACACACAATGATAGGAAATGACAAGTTAAAATAGTAGCTGATTTATATTTTAAATCAAAAGGCACAATAGCACAATTAAAGGCAGGAAAGAAGTTCTTGTATCACCCTA